TTGATGGCACTTAATAACAACAACAACAACAACAGTCCCTCCTAATAACATGCCCAAAGTATGTGAGATGATGCTTCACTATCTTTATCTCCAAGGAGCATTCTGGCTTGTTGTTGTTGTATCTATTTGTTCTTTTGGTAATTCATGGGATATTCAGTACTCTTCTCCAATATCACAAGTCAAAGGCATCAATTCTTCTGTCATCTTTATTTATTATCCAGCTCTCAGATATATAGCAAGTGATTGAAAAGACCATGACCTGAATCAGGTACACTATAGTCTTTAAACTGACATCCTTGCCCCTCAGTACTTTGGAGAAGTCCCTGACAGCAAACTTTCCTATTGCAATATGGCTTTTGATTTCTTGACTGCTGGTGCCAAGGGTGTGGATCCCTTCACCTTGTACTTGCCACCTCACCCAGGGAAGGACCCAGACCAGCGCCTACCAGCCCAACCCCTTAGCCTTCTGGACTTTGTACTGCTGGCTCACTGAGGGACCTCTGGCACTCTCATCATAATATCTGCATGTTTCTTTTTCCTTAGGATTTGATCCTCAGGATATAATCACTTATCTGTCAATTGCTTGTATTGGAGAAGTATCTTGTATATTACTACTATTAGTAGCTTAGATATGTATAGATTTGCTTGTTTATCATCAGCTGCCATGGGTATAGTTCTTGACTGTCAGATGCTATACTTAAACAGAAGGATTAAGTGGTTAGGAAAGAGGACCTTGGTGATTGAAATTACATGAAAGATCTGATAAAAGAATTCTGCAAGACCAATAGCTTATTCATGATAAATACCTTTATTCAACAACATAAATTATGACTATGCATATGGACCTCATTATACAGCATACACAGGATTCAAATCAGCAGCATCTAAGAAAGAGACAATGGAGAAACGCAGCATCACCAGTCAGAACAAGGTCAAGGGATAACTACAAAATAGACCACCAGTGGCTTCTCTGCAAGTTCAAGCTGAAACTGAAGAAAATTAAAGCAAGTCCTTGAGAGTCAAATACAATCTTGAGCAAATTCCAACCTCAATCTAGAGACCATCTCAAGCATAGATTTGACACACTGAAGACCAGATGAGTTGTGGGATGACATCATACATGAACATAGCAAAAAATCATTAAAAAGAAAGGAGTAAAGTGGATGCCAGAAGAGACTTTGAAAGTTCCTCTTGAACATAGAATAACTAAAGTGAATGGAGGACATTAACAAAGTAAAAGAGTAAAAGAAGATCTCTAAGGGCAGCTGGAGAAGGCAAAGTATTAAAGTAAAATGTGCAAAGGGGGAAAAAAGATCATGTTTGGCTGAAAGAACTGAGAAACAAATTAAACTTTCAAGTTGCAATATTGAAAGTTTCAGTGGCCTAGTGGCAAGAAGCTGCACTGTAATCCCGTAGGCATGCAGTTCGAGACCGCCAGCTGTTCTGCGGGAGGATGGGCAGACTCCTCTGGTGCAGTTAACTGCCTCTGAAAACCCACTGGAGGGTCAGCAATGGGTCAGTTCTGACTCAGCAGTACACAACAACAACAGCATGAGCAAAAGATTGGATAACTCAAGGAAGCATCAATAGAAGATGGAAGGAATTCACAGAGTCACTGTGCCAAAAAGAAGTGGTCATTGTGGGACCACTTCCGGAAGAAGCATATGATAAAGAACTAATGATACTAAATGAAGAAGCCCAAGCTGCACAGAAGGTAAAGGCAAACCCAGGCTTCAGAAACAGATGAAACACCAGCTGAAACATTCAATACAAAGACCCAACACCAGAAGCACACAGTCATCTGTGGCAGGGAATGCGGGTGCTATCTATCTGACCAACCAACTGAGAGAGATCCATACCTGTGCTCCTATCAAAGAATGTGAAAATTATTGAGCAATAACATTAATATCACATGTTAAGTAAAATCTTGCTGAAGAGAAAAAATGGTTGCATCAATTCATAAATAGAGAACATGGAGCGAGGGATATCATTGCTAGTGTCAGACAGATCATGGCAAAAACTAGAAAATATCAGAAACATGTTTATCTGTGTTTTAAAGACCACAGAGAGGCATCCACTTGCATGGATCAGGCCAGATTATGGATAACTCTGTGAAGAATGGACATTCTAGAACCTGTAGATCCTGAGGCCAGAGGACACTCTTCTCAGTTCTCTGCCCACTGGGCTGTACAAAGGAGCTCTGGGGGTGCGGTGGTCAGGGCACTTGGCTGCTAACCAAAAGGTCATAATGCAAAGCCACCAGCTCTTTTGTGGGAGAAGGACGTGACGCTCTGCTTTGGTAAAGATTTACAGCCTTGGATACCCTATGGGACACGTCTGCTTTGCCCAGCAGGGTCACTGTGAGGTGGAACCCAGCAGCTTGGATGTGTGGTTCTTCTTAATTGCTTTTGGCTTGTACAAGGATCCCCATGAAATGCTGAGCAAGTCGAGAGAACAAACCAGGTGTCACAGTTGAGACCACTATCAAACATGAGTCATCCAGACTGGGGAGAGGACTCTATCGCAGTATGGGTGAGATCCCACCAGAATCCATCTCCTTTGGAACCAATCTTACGAGAACAGTGCCTGGAGAAAAGGACATAGCTATCCACAGGCAGGACCGTGTCCACCTCCAGAGAGAACCTCAGAGTGGCATCCTGTTCTCCCTGAGGACATGCCCCTGCCTAGCCCTAAGAGTATGAATCCAGCACTACAGTAATCTCTCCTCTCGGGGTAGATCCCTGTCTCTCAGCTTCCATAGCCCCAGCATTCCTTGGCTCATCCTCCGTGGCCTTCTTAGCAAAGAAAACCCTATTCACAAACAAGATTACACTCACAGTTACAGGAGCTCAGGATTCCTACCCCGGTCTTGTGGAAAGATTCAGTTCAATCTGTAACATGGCACACACTGCTTCTGTAATGTGGTGCCCTTAGGATCCATGCCCCACCCTGCACTTCTCATCACAACACTGCCTGTGCAGAACACTTCAGTGATGACCCGCTGACCTGAAAACCACAACCTGGACTCTAGAACTGCACTATCCAATACAGTAGCCACACGCATCTGTTTCATGCTCATTCTGTAAGATGCAAGATGGAGAAGCGCTTGTGGCATAGTGTGCAGTGTGTGGCATCATGCTAACCACCAACCAACCCACCAGCTGCTCCTGTGAAGAAAGATGGGCAGTCCCCTCCCATTAAGATGCAAAGACATTATGCTGAGTGAAATATCTCAGTCACAAAAGGACAAATACTACATGGTGCCACTGTTGTAGAATGAGGCTGACATCAGGGTGGGGGTAAGTCTGAGAAAAACTGAATAAATTATGTATACTGCATTGAAGCTGATGAGGGAGAGAACAGTTTAAAAGTTTATATATATATATACACACACACACACACACACACACACACACACACACACATATACATATATGGAATGTTTCACAAATTTGCGTGTCATCCTTGTGCAGGGGCCATGCTAATCTTCTCTGAAGTGAGCACTAAATATATTTTAGGGCATTATGATTATCATAAGAGTTTGGAATGAGGGTTGCAGAGTGGAGTATACTCGGGGTAAGGGTGGGAGGGTGTGGGGGGATAATGTACCAATGAAGGAGTTTTGCTTTTAAAGAAGAGTGAACTGGGGGTGGGGGTGGGGTGGGCAGGGAGAAAAGTGCAACAATGAATGAATGGAAATCCACAATCACTGTAAATATTCATTGAAATTAATAATAATAATTTTTAAAAATTGCATTAAAAATATTCAAAGTCCAGAAACCTGCTGGAGGGTCATTGTGAGAGAGAGTCAGCTGGACAGCAGTGAGAGCAGTGAGGGAGAGTGAAATAAAAGAATTTCACTCTTGGTAACCTCTTTTCAGAGAGGAAGACCCTCGATGAGATGGATTGATTCAATGACTGGGGTAATCGGGGTGTGGTCAGAGACAATAAGATTGGCACAGGATAGAGCAGGGTTTAGGGCTGTTGTACACAGGGTCGCTATGAGTCACAGGCGACTTGACAGCACATAACAACAACAACATACTTGACTTGTGGCTACCATATTGAATAGCATAGTTTTAGAGTGTGGTCTGTATTTTTCAGACCAGTGAGTCACCACCAAAGGGCAGCAAGATGGTCCTCCAGAAAGCAATTTAGATGCCCTGTGAGATTCTTTTCTCAGTATTCCAGTTCTCTTAGTAGGCTTTTCCTTAAAGGCAATATTTAGAAATATACCATTCAAGGGATTGATTACTGTAAGGTGGACTAGGCACTATGATCATGTCTCTGAATGCTGCTTCCCCCAGGTGAGTTAATATGGCTGAGCCACGGATGTTCCAAGATGTGACCTGGGCCATCAGCAGAAGCGTGTGTGGATCATCCCTCATACCTCCATCCTGACACCCTCCAGGGTGCTGACAGTGCGAGGTAGGAAGGAACTTTACTCGGATACTATGGCAAAAGCTCAGTTACAAAATAGAACAAGGCTTCATGTCCACGTCTCCAGACTGTCAACTCCTGTCCCGTCACCTACTACTAACTACAGGCCTTCTTCTGACCCTGTAGCTCAGCCTCAGGGCCTTTGCACCTGCTGTGCCTGCTGCTTGGAACACTCCCCCTAGAGTCTCCCCTGTTGACTGCTTCTCATCACTCAGTCTCCGTTCAAACATCATCTCCTCAGATAGGCCTGCCCTGGTTGTGCTAAGGCAAGTCGTCTTCTCCAATGACCTCTTTTCATCACCCTGTTGGTTTTCCTCTCAGCTTCTCTCCTACTCTGTAATTCTCTTGTGAACATCTCTGTTTGCCTGCCCCATTCACTGAGGTATCATAAACAATGACCATGTGCATTGTCCATGCCAGCAGACGACCAGAACCTTGACTGTTTGGTCATCTCTGTGTCCTTGGCCCCATCCTGGTTCACAGTAGGTGCCCCATGAATTATGAATGAATGAGTTAGCAGCTTTGGGGAACGCTTGTACCAAGGCCTGCATCTGTCATACCTGATCTTGGCTTTCCTAAAAGCCAGCTCCTCTTCGTTGCCAAAATCCAAGGACACATCCTCAGTATCGTCCACCAGGGCCTGGGGGAGGGGGACACAAGAGGCCGACTGTCCGCCTGCACCCCACCTTCCTGCGGTTGCACCTCACACCACCCCCACCTGGTCCTCCCTGAGCAGCTCTGCACACCTGAGTGGGCTCAAAACCTGTCTCCTAGTGCTGAGGGGCCAGCCCACCAGCTCCAATCAGACGCCCTCCCCACTCTCCTGACCCAGCAGTTATTCACAGGTCCTTTGGGGGTCCAGGCCAGCCTCTCCTCTGGACATGGTGCATCCCTCTCTTTTCCCGACATGCCCCACTGGCTCCTCCCACCGCTCTGCTTCCTTCCTCCCGCCAGCATCCCCGCCGCCCTACCTGCTTCATCTTCCCTGGCCCAGTTCTCAGCCCAGGCCTCAGGCTCTCTCTCCTCTCGGTGCAGAAGGGATAGGCAGAAGGGGCTGGGGACACTGCACAAATGGGGCCTGAGCCTGCGCTCCGCTATGCCTTTCCCATCAAGGTGGGGTTGGGGGCGGGGTGCGCCGGCCCAGAGCGCAGTCGCAGGGGGATGGGGGTGGAGCTGCCCCGGCTGGATGAGAGCGGAGGTGGGGTGGGGGGGTCAGGGTCTGAGTGGCTGTAGGAGACAGTGAAGAAAATCCTGGGAATGGAGTGAGGACGGGCCAGTGAAAGCTGTGGATGTCATGTCAACTGAGCGAATGAATGAATGACCATTTTCAGCTGTCTCTATCAGCATTTGGAAAGCTGTCTGTTTCCCAAGTCTAATCCTAGTCTTCCCCTAGCACCCTTATTTAAATGAGATTCCCAGGTCCAGTCCTGGAGATTCAGGGCTGGAGTTGAGCCCAGGAATCAGAATTTTAACAAGCAGCTGCAAGTAAATCTGCTAAAACAGTTTAGGAATCAACAATTTGTTTCCTGAAGAGCCCTCGGGCTCCAAGTCACCCTACTAGACCCATTTCCTAAAATGAGCATCTTGGTGGGTGTGAAGAAAAGGGGCCCAGGTTAGTCCTGTGTCCACCAGTCACTTCCCAGAATCTCCAGCCCTCTGCCCCTTGAGGACAGGTCAGGAGAGGGAGAGGAAAGGAGGGTGCAATGGTCCCATGTGGAGGGAGGGCAACTCTCAGATGGCAGATTGTTCTGAGCTACTGTTGAGTTGATTCAACTCATGCGAATCCATGTGTAACAGAACTAGGCCTTGGCCAGTCCTGTGTAGTTTTCATGATGCTGATTGAGGCCACTGCTGAGTCCGTTATGTTGTTGAGGGTTTCCCTCCTTTTCTCCCATCCTCTGCGTAATGTCTTTTTCTAGCAAACAGTCCTTCCTACTGATGAGTCTAAAGTAAGCAAGTTAAACTCTCAATATTCTGTGATGCACAGGACTCTCATTAGGCAATTCATCAACTGCCAGACCTCTCTTCCTAGTCTTGATGTAGAAGCTTTGCTGTAAATAGTCTGCCATGGGTGACCCTGCTAGTACTTGGAGTATGATGATTGCCATCACAATCCCACAAACTCAGAGAAACAGCTGGTGGCAGATGGCAGATGTTGTGGCTGTTTCTTGAGGCTACCCCAAAACCTGACAGTCCCCAAAAGGGACTTCCAGGGGGGCTTTCCTACCCTCCCAATGCCATCAGGGCGATTCTCTGAACCTCATCTTAACAGACATCAGTGGCCAGTGAATCAGAGAGTCTGAGAAAAAGTCCCTAAAGGCTCTGCAACTGTTTCTCCTGCACCCAGCCTTCAGGGTCCCTGCCCCTTCGTTGGTGCCCGGGGTGGAGGCCCTAGGACATCCTAGCCTCTCAGTCCCACATTTTCTTTTTGCATCCTGCACCACTCTGGGCAGGAAAAGCCAACAAGCTGGCTCAGAAATGCAGGCTCTCAGACCCCATCCAGACCCCCTGAGCCAATCTGAGCTGACCAGGCCCTGTTTCATCAGCACGCCATTCAAGAGGAGCCACATTAAAGCTCTGGTCTGCCCAATGCCTGGGGAACATCACAAATTCTGATGATGGAAAGAGCAGCACAGCCAGTCACCAGAAGTCCCTGCCACCAACTGTGTGACCTTGGACAAGCCACTCAGCCTCTCTGAATCTGTTTCCTTACCTCTAAAGACAGTAATCAATGTCAAGAAAACAGATTATTCCCACTGGACCCATAGGCAACATCATGATGCATAGAGAAGAGATTAAAACTGTCAACAGCTTCGTCTTGCACAATTAACATCCTTAATACCAGCAGTCAGGAAATAAGGGGACTCACTGTGCTGGGAAAATCTGCAGTTAGGGACCTCTCCAAGTTATTGAGGAGTAATGATCTCAGTTTGAGAATTAAGGTGCATCGGATTCAGGCAACAGTCTTTCTAATCACTTTCTATACATCTGATAGCTGGACAGTAAATAAGGATGACAGAAGAGTTGATGCCTTTGAACTGTGTCATTGGAGAAGGGCACTGAACATCCCATGAATTGCCAAAAGAACATACAAATATGTCTTGGAGAGTATGCAGCTGGAGTGCTCTTCGGAGGCACGAATGATGAGGCTTCACCTCACATACTTCGAGCATGTTGCTAAGAGGGGCTATTCCTTGGAAAAGGACATGATGCTGGAAAGGGTGGAGTCTGCAAAGAAGAGGAAGACCCTCAGTCAGGTGGATTGACGCAATGACTGCCTCAGTAGACTCTTGTGTGTCAGGAAGTGTGAGGATGGCACAGGATAGAACAGGGTTCAGATCTTTTGTTCATAGAGTTGCTATGAGTCATTAGTGACTTGACAGCACCTAACAGCAACAACAAAGATAGTAATACTTGCTGGTTGCTGGGAGGATTAGAAAGAATGTATTGGGCATGGGGGGGGCAGAATTAAAATTAAAAGTAACTTGGCAGAAAGTTGGATGTTCAGCCACTGCTTATTTAATTCCCTTTTATGGGAATTTTAAAACGTAAAAATTACTTCCTTACTTGCTTAGACCTTCATTTACTTCCTAGCATATCTTTAGGAAAATCCACTATTTGTGGCACTATGCCTTAATACTGTCTGGTTTTACTACTGAAATTATTTATTTTATTAAAATTGTATTATGGTATCATGCATATGTTAACTAATAAAAACCAAATGGGCCCAACAGCTCATTGACATTGAGTTGGAACTGACTCATAGCTGCCCTTCTGTTGGGTTTCTGAGGCTGTAAATCATACAGGAAGAAAATGCCTGTCTTTCTCCTGTGGGAGCTGCCCGTGGATTTGAACCATGACAGAGGGCAACCATTGGGTTAGCAGTGCAACTCCCTACAGACTCCACCATTAGAGCTCCCTTATTTGTTAACAGCATACATAGTATTTTTATGCCTCATTGCTGTTGAGTCCTAACCAACTCATAGCTGGTCCTCCAGTGGATTTTCAGAGACTATTAATTGCATGGGAGCAGCTGGTGAGTTCATACTTCTTGCCTTTGGGTTGGCAGCAGAGCTCCTTACCCACAAGGCCACCAGAGCACCGTAATCTTTATGAGAGTAATTAAAACTTATAACCTTTGACTTGGAACCAACTCATAGCAACTTCCCAGTGGGTTTCTGAGGTTGTTAATCAGATGGGAGAAGATGGGATCTTTCTCCTTAGGAACTGTTGATGGATTCAAACCAGCAGAGATGTGTGGCCTTTGGGTTAGAAGCAAAATTCTCTATGAACTATATCACCAGAATACTAGTGGGTTCAAACTACCAATGTTTTGGTTAGTAGCCAAACATACCTACCTACACCAGAGGAACTGATTTCGCTGGACTTGAGTAAGGGCCCTTTGAGAGCTACTACAGTAGGCATAATGTTTGGGAGACACTCTTAAGGTTCTTGGCCCACAAAATATCCTCCCTACCTGGAGAAAGCACCCTGCTTCTACACTCCTTATGTCCTAGCAAGGTCTATTTAAAAGGAATCAGGTGTCACAGACCTCTCGATCAAGCCAATGACTGCTTCCATTCTTGAATCATTGCCTTTGACAGTTGTAAAAATTGGAGGTATTCCATACCCTGCTTAGTCACAGAAGTGGAGTTAGCTCCTGTTTCCCATTGCAGAAGGCAAAAGCTAGGATGAAGGAAGGATCCTGACTTTGAGGCTCGGACTCTGCATCCCAGTGGAGGCCAGGAAGGGCAAAGGGGGAGTCCTGAGCCAGGAAGGACTCTCGAGTGGCAGATCTCTCCTGAGATTTAGATGTTAAGTAAGGCTTGACCTTGTGAAATTCTGTTACTGCTAATAATAATATTATTTCTTTTGTTCTCTATGGGCTCCTAAACTCTGCTGTCACTGCTAATAATAACATAGAGTATTTGTTTTGTGCTCTGCATGTGTCTGACACCCTGAGGCACACATGTTCTTGTTTTGTTTAGTAGAGGTTCTAACCCTGTAGCTACAGCCAATTCACATGGAGATGCTTGTTAAAATGCATATTCCAGGGCCCTACTCCCGATCTTTTGCCTCTTGGGGACCTGGGAATCTGTTTTTAATAAGAGTCCTGGAGATTCTGGGTTCAGAGACTTTGGGAAAACACTGAACACTTACTGTGGTCTCACACCCTGCAAATGGTACCTGGGGCAAGTGGAACATTACTAAGCTGTCCACATTTGGAAGGGCCCCTCCCACCTGTCCCGGCCCTACATCACTGTCTCCCACATCCCTTTCTTCTTCATGTTGACAGACAGACACTTAAGAACTAAGAAGGGGGTGGGTGAGAGAGAAGGAGGGAGGGAGGGAGGGAGGGAGGGGAGGGGGTGGAGAGAGATCCCCTCCCAGGGACTGTGCATGGGGTGAGCTCTGGATTTCAACCTAGGCAGACTTGGATATGAATCCCAACCTCTACTGGCCCTGGGCTTTCATTTCCCCCTCCATAAAATGGAGAAAGTATCTGTCCCACTCACTTCTTCCACTCTTTCATTCTTCCATTCACTCACTCCTTCTCTTACCATACTGATCTAGACAAAAGGCTCTACTCTCACTGAGCTGATACTCTATTTAGCAGAAACAATGAATAACCAAGCAGAGAAAAAAGAAAAGAGGAAACATAAAGTGGGAAAGAGCCCTCAAGGACTCAGGTATCATGGATTGTATTGTGTCCTCCAAAATACATGTCAACCTTGTGGGCAATGATTCTCAGTGGTTTGGCAGTAATGATGTAAATCATACTCATGATGTCATCTTATATAAGCAGCCTATCAGTTGTAAAGGAATTCAGTTTTTAGTTGTAATGGTATTTCATAGCCCTGATCCTGTCTGGGGGAAGTTTCCCTGAAGTGTGCCTGCAAAACTGTTTATTTTACAAGAAATAAAAGGAAGCAAGTGTGAGCAACGAGGGCAGGACCTTTTATCATTAAGAAAGAAGAGC